CAAAAAAAAAAAAAAAAAAAAAAAAAAAAAAAAAAGATTAAAAAGGAAGATCAATGGTAGGGGCCAACGACGACGATGGGCAGTATAGAGAAGAAAGACGATGGAGAGGAGAGGAGAGGGGTGGCAAAGGGTTTGAATGACGTAGAGTAAAACTGATTTGGATTTTTCACTTTAAAAAGTTCAATGAGTTTTTCATTCAAAACAAAATTTATATACTTAATCATTTAAAATGGAAAAAGTTTGTTTGGCTTTTTAAAATTTCTCTTTTTTTGTAGTTAATACAAAAAAATTAAATTTTTAACATATAATTCTAAATTATATAATACACGCACTCATAGATTTTTGACATCGTTATTACAAAGACAGTACCATTCTTTTTTTTTTATCTTGATAAAATATATGCACCCTTATCACAAAGAAACAAAAGACCCAACTACAAGAAAGCACGATACATGTCAATAAAGGTCGTTGACTACAACAATCATTGACAGGTCTAGAATTTTTGTTGAGTAAGTGCATCTTTAAGGTGGATCAACAATCTACAAAGTTGTCCGATTTGTTTTAGCCAAATTTCATTGTTTTGAAAGATTTTTAAGTTTTTTGGTTGATTTCAAAGACTTTTTTTGGTTTTTTGGTTGATGTTCATTATATCATCTACTATGTTTGAGCATCATTCAAAGTTTAGTACGAAAAAATTCCTACTTACACCAATGAGTCGAGCAGATTCACGGGACCCTGCTTGGGACTTAACAAGTCCCGTTGAGAAAAAATGCTATTACAGGACCAAGGATATATGATTATGGTTTAATTACATGAGTAATGCATGTGGTGTATATATATATAGTTCGTTTCAAATACAACCCATTGTATTTGTACAACCAATACAATCCAATAAATTGAGATATTATTTTTATTTATAGTGTTTTTTGTTTAAATGTAGCAATATATGAATTTTCTTCAAAATTTGATAGCACATACCAAGTTTTGAAATAAAAGAATCAGAATCACGGATTCAAAAGACTATTAAGGTAACAACAATGAGTTGGGTTTTTGGTAATTGGATGGAAATAAGAAGGTAGTTGGTTCATTTATGGAGACGTAACCCATAATAATTAATACATAATTCTATTTCTAATTCTAATAGATAGAAAATAAGGTTAAGGTTACTGGTAAGAGAATTCGAACAACTATTTAATCACTTCAGCCCATTTGGAGGAAGTCCAAGATCACAAGCCCAACCCAATCGAGTAAATTAGCTTGGTTTATACTTATTTAACCAATCATTTCTTCAATATCCATTCAGAAACCAACATATTTCATCATCTCCATGGAATGGACACACCATATTAATTGTTTTCGTGGCTGCATCACGGGATTAATTCTTTTTCTCTTATACAATGAACTTATAATCACATGAGGTTGGTTAATGTCAACATTATTTTACGATTCCAATAAGTTACAAGCATATAGTAATTGGATCAACTTAAGTCGATAGATAACAACTTTCATTACGTTTTTCTTTTTCTCGTAACAAAATTAAATTTGAAAAAAGGAATAAATAAATAAATGGAGTCAATTAATGAATTAAACCGAAGCTACCATAAGAAAGGAACCCAAGCTCTGACACTATACAAATCCTTTCAATTAAGCATCCTAACACATAACGTCCTTTTTCCTTTTCAAGATCTACGGGTCTTCTTATATTAGATTGACCTTTTGTTATGCATAAAACAAACCTCAAATTTCATTCTTGCTATGTACGTTGAATCTTGTAATCGTGATTGCTGAGCAACTTTTTGCTCGTTTTAGAAATTTCAATAACAATCTCATGATTTTCTTGAAAGAGGTTGAATATTCTAAAACAAACTTCAATTACGATGAGCTCTGCTTCCAATTCACTAGACGTGATAGAAATTTCTTGACTTCACACGGACTCCAAAGAGAGTATACAGCCATGGTTTCCTTCGGGGTTGAAGATACAACAATTGAATATCCGTTACCTCTGTTCTTTATAACCTACACAAAAGCCGACATCGTACTTAAGAGAGAGAGAGAGAAGGAAAAGCACAATTCGTATAGTAACTATCAACCATATTTCTGGGGGAGAAAAATAGAATGCCATGAATTGTCTGTAATATACCGATATAAACTTGTTTAATTGATACCTTAAATGCATCTTCATCTGTTCGATCATCACCGATATAAATAGGAAGCACATCGTTTGAACTTCCATATCCAAGTGTCTCGAGTAAATATTCCAAAGCATGTCCTTTATCCCACTCGATATCAGGTCTGATCTCAAAAACCTAATAAGAAAATAGAAACAAATTCATATCTTATAATAAAATTGTATCTTTCAATGAATTAGAAGTTTAGTTTACCTTTTTGCCCTTTGATAGTCTAAACTCTTCAAAATCGTCTACCACAGATTTGACAAGTTCGTCTAGCAACAAAAAATCCTACAGTGTTTCCAAAATTAACTTTTTATTAGAGTTCCATTATTAATTTATACAAAAAAAATATGTATATACGTAATGACGGAACATACCTTATCAGAAACATGTCTAAAATGTACAGAAACACAAAATTTATTATTTTCAAGCATGACGCCTTTTATATTGCGGGTTTCCTCTTTCAATACATCGAGTATCTACACAAAAATCATACAAGAATGTTAAATTTATATTTTTTGTATTAAATACTTATACGATGGGAAAAAAATGTGTTTTCAACATACATATTGGTTGTTTTGTGGCTAAAAATTTGGAATATATATATATATATATATGTGTGTGTGTGTGTGTGTGTGTAGAGAGAGAGATGGTTTATTATACAAATCAATCTTAATTGTTCGTCTAATCTAAATGAATATATGGTTTCATAAATACTCGATTGTTTTCTAATATAAATTAAGCGTTGACCATCATTAGTAAGCTCTAATTATCTTCTATAAATATTCATACTATAATAAATAAACATTGGATTATTTTTTATAAATATCACAATTAATTAGTTTACATGATTTGTAACAATTGATGGTTTGTATTTGGTGTTGCTATATCAACATCTCTCTATGAAATAAAAGACCCTATTTTATTTTAACCTTTTGACTTAAAATTAAACAACTTTGGAATTAATATATAATTATAGGGTTTTGTTAAAGGCATCCTCATTTTCGGTTGTGATTTACACCCTCACCTATTAAAAACTAAAAAAAATGAAATAAATAACATTAAATGACGTAATTAAAAGATTGAAAAATGACATTATTTCACATTCTTTTCTCTCTCTTCTATTTTTTGTTTTTTGATTAATAATAATAGATGGTAATAATAATTGATTTGAGGTGAAAAATGAAGTAGGTATTATTTGTTACAAATAATATTACCTTGAAAATAGAAGGCAAGTATTTCTGTGCTGGTTGGAAAAGTGCAACTTCATCACCCTACAAAATTCAAATTTATTGATGAAATTAATTATACATTCATGTGAGAATATTAATACCAATTGAACCTTCACAGTAAAACATTGTAATTGTAATATTTTGTTGTGAACTTTGGTTTTACGTAAATCCAATTAATCATTAATTTATATATGTATATATGAATGGAATTAAGCTTACATTTTTATCAACAAATTGGTGGTGTCCAAGCTCATAAATGCACTGAAAAGGGGCTGCGATGTCGAGACCATGGCTGCCAGCATAATAGAGATCATCTAATTGCACAAATTCATACACCTATATATATAAATATAAAAAGTAAGTAATATTATGATCAAAATTTAGTAATTACGATGCAAATATTTATTTGAATTAATGAGGATACCTTATCGCGACTTCTTCCACTGATGATGGCAGTTGGAAAACAACGTGCAACTTCACCTACTACCTTTCTCATCTGCATGTGGTTTAATTTTTATTTCATGTTAACATCCGACATGAAGTCATTGTTTCTTCAAATTTTGGAGTCAGGGTTCAGCACTGCACTAATTTAATATTAATGAAATAACTAATAAAAATTACAACACTTCATTTTATTATTTTTGATTTATTTTTATCTCTAAAACTAAAAGCATTCATTATTCTTAACTTTATGTTTGGAATTACATAATATTTATTTATCTATCTATCAACAAACTTTATTTAAAAATAATAATCATCAAAATCTGTAGTTAATATATATATATATATATATAGAGAGAGAGAGAGAGAGAGAGAGTGTGTGTGTGTGTGTGTGTATGTGTGTTATGTTCAAAAGAAAAGCATATGTGGAATCTTATATGAAAATGTATAAGTGATTATTTATAGTCGAAAACCCGGAAATGTTTTATGAAATGAAAAAGTTGATAAAATGTTGATTTGACATTCAATAATATTGTTTAGTTATTGTAGGTATACATACAATCAAATATGGATTAAAGTAGTAGTATATGGAAATTAAATGAAAAAGGAATGAAGGAGATGAATATATATATATATATATATATATATATATATATATATATACGTGCCTGGTCGGACATAAAAGCTTCATCCGGATTTGGTACAATATTGGAGAGAGTTCCATCATAGTCCAAGAACACTACAATCTTTTTCCCTTTGGCATTCACAATCATCTCATCAAATGTCTCCAATGCAGATGGATGTTTCTTCTGTATGTTATGTTATGTTATGTTATGTTATGTTATGTTGCAAACCAATTACTAATTACTATTTATATTATAATTACAACTTTTGTTGAACAATAATTAATTAAGAGGACGAATTTACCAGCCATGAACGATATCCGTTTTCATTCATTGATAATTCCGCTAATCCCATGAATCCTTCTTCTACCTGAAATTAGAAATAGAAATAGAAATAGAAATAAAGGGGTTGAAGAAAATAAAATGGAATTGCATTAATTTGAGATTTATTACCTTAAGAGTTGAAGAAAAATTAAGAATGAAGAAAAGAAGTGAAGTTTGTGTGTTCAAGAGTTGGGAGTTGAGAGTGTATGTATATATAATCATAATCATAATTATAATTATAATCATAATCATAAAGTATGTATATATGTTTATGTGCGATGGGTCCAACATTTAAAGATTCTTTAAAACAAATTAAACCATAAATAATTGGAAGCTTGTCAAACCACTCATCCTCAACATATTCAAGAGATTCCCAAGGTTGTGTTTATTGGCTACTTCTTTTATCTTTCTTTTTTTATTTCTATATATAAAATTGGTAAAATGAAGTTAATATATATATATATATATATATATATATATATGTGGAACAAAAAGGATCTTCAAAATCTTGTTTGTTGGGAGCTTAAGAAAAGAAATCAGGAAATTAAATGGAGTCAAGTAAACATCAAGATTTAACCAAACACATGTACATACATTCCTATATGTAAATGCTTGCTTAGCTACAAGATCCTCCATCATGCAACAATTTCTACTTATTGATTGGATGCACATATTTAATCAATTTTCAAGTCTTCCTTTGGAAATTTACATATATATATATATATATATATATGAAACAGTGTGTGTGTGTATATATATATATGAATAGAATAATTAGGTTGTTTAATCACGTAGGTAGCTAGTTTTTTCCATTCCCCAGATATATATATATATATATATATATATATATATATATATATTATGGCTTGTGTTACAATTGGGCTATATTTTACTCCATTTCTTCCAATTTGTTTTTAACACCTTCAACCATTACACACTATTTTAACCCCAAATTGTTTTTTTATTATTCAACCTTATTTTTCTAACTTTAAACCACTACTTTTTATGTAAACTTTTGCAATTTCCAAGACCTTAACTTGATATTAAACTTGTTTCACAGAGTTTTTTAGTCTACAAATTTAAAAATGGACATGAAATTAAACCTAGTTTATTGTGTTTGAATTAAGGTCATTCAATTCAAATAGTCAATACCTGTTTTTTCTATTATAAGTCCCTTTATTAACAATGAAAACATAAAGGATCAGGTATTTCATTGGTATATATATATACATATACTAGGTTTGATCCCGTGTATTACATGGGTAGTTTGAAAAAAATTAAATCATGTTAAGAACTTATCTTACAGATATGAATGATCATCGAAAGTACAATGTTACTTCAAACTTATACTCTTGAAATAACTTTTAAGTATAAAATCAATCCCATTAGATCAGAGTTCAGACTTTAGAGTTCAACTGAGATAAGTCTGAAAAAGAAGACTTCAGAATTCGGATGAGCTAACTCTGAAAAATGACTCTTCAGACGTGTAGAAGACTTCAAAGTTCAGACTTCTAAGTCCAGAAAAGAAGACTTCAAACTTCTTTTTCTAAGTCTAAAAAAAACTTCAGAGTTCGGATGAGCTATGTCTTAAAAAGAAGACTTCAGAATTCGAGTGAGCTAACTCTGAAGAATAACTTCAGAGTTGTTCTCTTGAAATAACTCTGAAGTAAAACTTTTCAGTAAATTGAATTTAGAATAACATGAAGTTAATCCTAAAATAAAATTGAATTTAAAAATGAAACTATATCAATAAATTGAATTTAAACTTAGAAGTAAACATCATTTTTTGTGAATCAGTTAGACACGAATTAATTAACCCAAGAATAAAATCAATTGTATCCTAAATTAGTGAAATTGATTGAATAAGATGACACATGTCAATCAAATGAGTACAATTGAATTGTTAATGTAAATTATGTCTAGATACGTTCAAATGAGTCCATTGAACCACTAATGTAAATTATGTCTAGATACGTGTTTAGGCAGGAAAACAAGAAAACCGACTCACCAGAAGATGACATATGTCACCCAAGTTACATATTTAATATAAGTATATATATATATATACACACACACACACTAGGTTCGATCCCGTGTATTACATAGAATAATTTGAAAAAATTAAATCATGTCAGGAAATTATCTTACAGATATGGATGATTATCGAAAGTATGATGTTACTTTTGACTTGTACTCTTGAATGAACTATGAAGTATAACTCTGGAAAATGACTCTTCAGACTTGAATTTAAAAATAAAATTATATCAATAATTAGTTAAAATGAAGTTAACCCTAGAATTAAATTAAATTTAGAGATGAAACTATATCAGTAAATTGAATTTAAACTTAGAAATAAATTTAGAATAACTCTTCAGACTTGTACTTTTGAAATAACTCTGAAGATTTACTTCAAACTTTTACTATTGAAATAACTCTGAAGTAAAACTCTCTAGACTTCAGACTCTGTATAGGCAAGCCAGAAGCTTTGCATGCACTATGCAAAGGATCTGCATGGTGCTCTAGATGGTGCTCCGTCTGAAAAAGAAGACTTTAGAATTCGGGTGAGCTAACTCTGAAGAATGACTCTTCAGACTTGTACTATGAAAATAACTCTAAAATAAAATCCTGAAGAATGACTCTTCAGACTTGTACTCTTGAAATAACTCTGAAGTATAATTCAATCACACTAAATCATAGTTCAGACTTCTAAGTCTAAAAAAAAAAACTTCAGAGTTCGAGTGAGCTAACTTTGAAGAATGACTCTTCAGACTTGTAGAAGACTTTATAGAGTTCAGACTTATAAGTCTGGAAAAAAAAAAGACTTCAGATTTCTTTTTCTAAGTCTAAAAAAAAGACTTTAGAGTTTAAACTTCTAAGTGTGAAAAAGAAGACTTCAGAGTTCAGACTCCAGAATTCGGGTGAGTTAAGTCAGAAAAAACAGACTTTAGAGTTCGGATAAGTTAACTCTTTAGAATGACTTTTCATACTTGTACTCTTGAAATAACTCTGAAGTAAAACTCTGAATAATTATTTCAGACTTAACTTTGAAGTAAAACTCTTGAAATAACCAACTAAAGCCCCTTTAGATTCACCAACCAAAAACGAGGTCAACCTAAAAGCAAGGCTAACTAAAGGCCTTCTGTGTATATTATGTAAATATACAAAGCAACTTAACTATAACATTACCATGGTTGATATTTATACCATATATATATATATATATATATACTCTTTTTTGTATAAGTCCTTTTATTAACAAGGAAAACATAAAGAATTAAGTATTTCATGTATTTGTACAAGCAACTTAACTACAAAATTACCATGCATGGTTTATATATATATAGATATATATATATATATATATATATATATTCTTTTTAATTTGTTGCATTTGAATATATAACATTTGATTTCTTAAGTTATTCAAAATTAAGACATCTTATTATTTATAATCCAATATATATTTAAATGTTTAGATTAAAGTAGTCGATTAGCCTCCAGATCATCTTATAATCCCCGAAAGACCAAAGGTTTCCACATGAGTTACCATTCAAGATCTCAAGACTTTAAAAAAAACAAGAATATCATTTTGTCGGATCTACTAATTAAAACAAGTCTCACGATATGAATATGAATATTGGATTTGGATTGGTAATCGATCTCATCACATGCAGTTTGTGACACCTGCCTCTATAAACTACTACCGACACATATCCATAATTAAACTCTCTTGATCCAAATCCTAAGAATCCACAAACTCTAGTTTGAATGTATTTTTAATTCTAGTTTGGAGAAGAATGTGATTGTACGTTTTAACGTGTACATGTTCTTACTGCATGCTGTCTTGGAGAATTGTTTATATGGAAGGAGAACGTGTTTATGGGACACACAGATTAATACCTGAAAAGAAGCAACAACATCGATCACAACTAAGCTATCTTTATTAATCAAACTACTTCACTTCACTTCTTTTTCTTTTCTTAAATTAATTAATTAACCTACATCTGCATGCATGGATGGTTAAGTTATCATCATTTTCTTCAAACTTAACTAATTTGCTATGGTGATCTATTTTATTTAACATACCTACTTTATTCTAATTATCATATATATGTTTTCAAAAAAACCCAGAAACAGTAGCTTTAATTTTACCTGGAGATCAGAGTATAATAAAATGGAAAGAGGGTTAATTGGAAAGGATAAGATATAGTGGTTGCAGGTTATATAATTAATTAAACTGAATGGGTTTGCAATTGCATCGATGTTAGTAAGGAGTTTCTTGTATTTTAGAACACAAGTTGTTCAATTAGTCTTCTACCTCTCTTTACTAATTACATATTCATTAACAACCATGCATGGAAACTCTCAAACCCTTCTTCATTATATATATATATATATATATATAATTTGAGTTTCATACATACATAAAGATTCCTTGCAAAAGAATTCGAAAATAGTAACTATTAATTTTCCTTAATTTTGTTTAAACTAATTAAAATGCTTGCCAAGATCCACTTTCCAACTAATACAACTATATATCTTATTCATGTCATTCAACTGTAACTGGTGTAAAAAACCCTGAAACATATATTGGGTTGTGGGTGTGTTCATTAATTTGGGATTAAAATAGAATCGTGGAGGAAGAAGAAATTAATTAAGGTAGCAACTTCTGGAAGCATTCATTGGTCATCTAATTATATATGTGTCTTTAATTAAACCTTAATGTCCAATTGAGATGCCTTAAAGTGATATATATATATATATATATATGTTGATGTCTTTTTTTTAATCAATGTAATATATAATAGATAAACATGGAAACACGTGGATTCAAACCCAAGGAAAATGAGATTTCCACTACATCTAGTGTTAATCGATGCACCACAACCTTAATTAGTGGTTTATATATGTTACGAGGGTTTATATGCAAGAAAAATGAAGAATTTTGGTGCTATAATGGCTTAGTTTAGTGTAGGAATCGAACCACTCGACTTCCACCAATTCAAGTCGCATGGCCAAAGTCATGAGGATGAAGTGCGAGAGAGCTTGGAACTCACCGAGTGGAATTGATCGCAGTGAACTCTCATGGCGTATGCTACAAGTGGAACCATAGCCAAACTAGGGGCGGGGGTCAATCGTCCTCAGTCAAACCTAAAAGAAGATATTTTTTTACCTTAAAGAATGCTTTA